ATATAATTTATTGTGATTTAAATAGGTAAGTTGGGAATTTCAATCTTGAAGTGGTTGAAAAATTGCAATATTTTATGGCAGAGCTTGCAAACGTTATAATAACATTATTATTATTGATTATAACGTTTTATTTTTTACAAAAAACGATACATGTTTGTAAACGTAATTATAACGGAATGCGATAATCAAAAATAATTAAATACAGCATAACAAAACATATAAAACGGTTTTAAATTCTTAAACTACATAGCGCTAGCGTTTTAACTTTCAAAACGGTTTGAGTATAAACCGTTTTAACGCCATCATATAAACCTAGTAGGTAATTTACTAGGTTAAAAAATAAATAATAAATAATTTATATATTTTAATAATTTTATATAAGTTTAATATTAGTCTTTAGATCTTCTGAGGCCCTTCGATATATTATGGGGCCCGAGGCCTGTGTGTGGTACACACTCTGCACACCCGGTTTTTACGGCACTGTATAAAACGCAATATAGGTACACCCCAACACATACACAAAAAACAATAATTGTAAAATCGCAATACGCATTGGTCGCGTTCCGTTCTGAATCTAAAAATCTTATAGGTACCTACAAAAGTATAAAGCGAGTATATATATATATATACGACAGTATAGTAATATAATGCAGATCGACATATAAATCCTCGTTAAAATATTATAATACAATTATTATAGTGTACCTCTGCGTAAGTATATACAGTTAGAGTCGGTATACCAATAATAGTCGTAATAATGGCATTTGGAAAAATTAACGGGCCCGAAATCCAGCTGATGCCGGCCGTCGATTAATATAATAATATGCTGGCTACTAATAAACGATGTTTGTTTAAAATCATCGTCGACGGCCCAGGAATAAATACCGAAATCGGCACATTTGCAACTCTGAGCTCATCTGAGTATATAATCTGACCTAACCTTACGCGGACAAAAAAAAAACCTGAACGAAAAAATGGCTGCATCGCATATCGAAGAAAAGGAAATGGAAACAACTATCATGCAAATCTTGGGAAAAATAATAAGCAACGTCGAGTACGAGATTATGGAAGAAGAACTTAAACGAATAGACGACATCGACCAAGAGCCTACCATCGGAGACCTGGAAGGACTTTTATCGTATGCAACGCGCTTCGCGGGGGACGACTACGTCCCGTCCAACGTCTTTCAACCGGTCGACAAATCTGACAAAATGGCAGAACCGGTTGAACCGATCGTTGAAGTGGTCGCGCCTCCGGTGCAGGAAGCCGCGAAAAAGGAGCTGGATGGCGAGGCGGTGGGCGCCACACCGGCCAGAGGACTGGAAGTCAGAAATAGTATCGGGATCTTGATTGGTTGGCTGGACCCGGGGGTCAAGGCAGAAACACGCGCAGCTCCGCGCAGTGCAACGGCGAGACTGGTGTCCTCTGCGTGGAGAGGCCTGACGAGAGCCGCACGCGTGTTGCGCTGTTGTTGTCCCCGAAGTGAAACCGTCCAAAAGTTTCCCCCCTGGCCGAGGGCAGCGGACAAGACGAGGCGACGTGTGGGGTTTCGAGGTAATAGGTACGCGGCAGTGCACATTCAGGTGGTGACCGGCGGTAAGTCGCCGATACACGTTCTCCGGCCATCCTGCGGCAACGCGACGGGATCGCGGACGTTGCGAGCTCGAGGTCGCCGAGACACGCGAGACCCTCTGGCGGCGCGGCAGGCGCCCGGCTGCTTCGGTCCGGGAGCGACGACGACACGACGACGACGGAGGTTAGCGGTACCGGCGCGGACAACGACGCCGTCCCCGACACGTAACCTGCTCAGTGACGAACGCTGCAGTGCTGCGCGACTCGCGTGACGGCGGCGACGGAGACCTCAGAGCTCACGGCGGGTGAGTGACGGATGACTATGATTACAGGGTATAGCTAGGAACGCCACGGACGTCAGCAGCGCCGGGCTCGAGGAAACGAAACGTTTCGTCGGGTTCGACGGTGCGCGGCTCCGTGGCCATCGGCTGCGGCAGACGGAGACGCCAGGGCGAAAATCACGGAGACTATCAGGACAGCGGCGCTTCGTCGCGAAGCGTCTGCAGATTTTCTCCCTTTTTCGCCCAGTGGTCCGATCCCGAGTCGCAACGCCGCCGATTCCGCAGCTGCACCGAGATCGTAGTCGCCAGCTCGCCTCTCCGAGCTTTGCAGGTCACCGTTGTTGCGGCACAAGCAGTCGTCCTTCAGCACCCGCAAGTACCGTCAAGCAGCGCACGACATCGCGCACTAGCCTCTCGTCGCCAATCGTCGTCGCTCTCGCAGCCGTCGTGGCCGGGCTTCGTCCGCTGCCATGGTCGTCTTGGCGGTCTCGAGCAAACTAGCCCGCGACTCTCGTCCGCCCCGCAGGACAGCCCGTGAGAACGTTGTAGAGGTGACCAGAAGCCATATACCAGTTTACCAATACATCATCAGCACCACCAACTCGCCCACCACGTACCCCCCCCCCACATCGCGTCGTCTTGACCGATGCCTTTTTTTTTTGTATTTAAATTTTCTTTACTTATATCGAATAATATTCACTTTACAAATTTCGGCTTTTTCTTTTTTGTTCTAACTTTTTTTGAACATAGAAAATTGTATAATAATATAACGGCAACCGTTTCCAAAATTGTTTCCGTTTTTGAAATTATATTCAAAATTAAAAATGTTATATTGTTTTTGTTCGATAATTAAAAATAAATTTGTGAACACAAAAAACTATTGTTGCTTTTTTCGTATTGTCGAGTGTGTAAGTCAATTTTTACAATATAATAAAATATTGACTTTAGTTGTAATAATATTCTAAACTGAACAAATCTTGTAACAGATATCTATTACTGTACTCGTGTGCCTCTAAGCACATTAATAATATTGTGTACCTGCCTATAGCTATGCTTCTTTCAGGGGCCTGTTTCAGTCGAAATAAAGCAAATATTAAAATTTTACTCCGAATAAAAACGAAAAATTACGAACATTTGTTAAAAATGAAATATTGTATTTTTCCACGGTAATAGATTTTATCGTTTTGATATTATTTTTATAATCTGAGCAGAACGAGACATGAACGTATTAACATCACAATGACTTATGTGTTATTTTGTGTTAGCCATCACGTTTTGTAGCAGAAAAATTATGCTTTAATCTTCAACTTTGGGGGTGGTTTTTTTTGGCTTCTTCAATCGAGTTGATAATTTAGAAAATGTTTCATAATAGTTTATACCTTTTAAAATATTTGGGAAAAATCACTATCGAAAAACAGCAGTAAAACGGGCGCTATTTTTAGCTAATAGGTCACATTAAAAAACACTAAATAGATATATGCTATGGTGCACTACTGTATATTACTGCGATAAACCCTCATAAGTCCTATCGGCCAAATCTTAATATATTAATAAAAATAGTACCTAATATACAATATACATGTACCTATATTTTGTTTTTATCATTAATATAAAGTGTGTTGAAATTTGTATAAATGTTCAAGTATTATTTGTAACTTGTAAGATCGTGTAATTTTGGTAATAGAAGGTGTGGAGGGCAGACTAGTCTCCCGTGGCTCTGTGAGGCATTTACAATTATAGTACAGTTTTAGAAGTCTGTTTGCGCATCATAATGTGGGTAAATCGCTAAAACTAGAACCAGAACCATTAATTTTCCTGTAACTTTTAGAGGACTCCACACCACCAGTAATTTATCCAATAAATTGTTTTTGGGCGAGACAGAATTCACAGTAGCCTTACCAAATGTTAACCTTACATAATATAATATAACATAGAATGCATTATATTTCAGATTGTGGGGAATGCAAACGGACAGTTTTTAAGGAGACAGTTCAAAATAGGCAATTTTCAAATTGTTTTCATGTAAACGTGTGCGTAGTAAATGATCATTAGTTGTGTGAGTGTGTGACTTGGGTATAAAATAGAGGTTCGCGCGTACAAGTCACCAATAATAGGCGTTGCTCGAGTGAACAATTCATTATCATTTGTATGTACTTTTTGTCAATCCTACCGATGGACTTGACAACGCGATAAGACTTCTGAAAAATGATTTGAATTCGTCATTATGTCTACTTGAGATCGATCAGGCCACATTTTAAGATGATTACTTTAATTTTCAAATAAGCGACATTATACGAGGATTATACGTCATATAATATTATTATTAAAATTACCGATAATAAATACTATTATAATATACGTGGTTGACACTTTTTGGCACCTCACTGCTGTAGACATCAAAAAAACAACCATGTAATATTATGTTTCATTAAAATAAATCGTTAAAACATATCGCAATATTTACACATCGATGAGAATTTTTAATATTCATCTTTTAAACCTTAATGTAAAACTGTGGAAATATACTATAATATGTAACTAAATATTATAATATTATGCATAAATAGTTATATGAACCGAACATGCGTTTCTTGTTATTGATGTTTATTCAATTATTACAATGTTCGACCACCAGCTGCGGATTAATATACATAGGTATATATCAATAAGGAATAAAAAACCTTCACCGGATAAAGTAAATCGTTTATTAGTCATCCCCGAGTCCCGACTGTGCTACACGTCCTGTCTAACACATTAAGGTTTTTAAGTTTTACCAGAACGCCATTGACACTATTATATAGGCAGGTACCCTAAAAATAATGTAGAAAAGTAATAACTTAGAGGTGTAAGTACATTAAATTAAGGAAATATAGGGACGATACTAAAATTGCCTACACTAAACCCCTTAAATACCGAGTGTGGCGTTCTCGTGAGAGCCAACAAATTTAATTTAAAAAATCAAATCTGGACCAGATGTCCAGAACCTGAAATTCTTCGAAGGTTCCAAGCTTTATATACTTGTATCCGTATACTAATTGATAACATATTTGTATTAATTGTAGTTTGTACAACACATATGTATCAGATTGACATCTGACAGACGCACACCACATTACCAACAATTTACTTTCTGTTTTCTTTTTTCAGGTGATTGCCATAGTCACTCTATTAATTATTCTGATAAATGACATCAGAATACAGACCATTGTCATAGATTTCTTACCAAAAGCTGTCGGTAAGTCTATACTTTCAAACAACTAACTATAGTAACTATACTATCAAATCCTAGTTAAAAATATTACCTATAATAGGTAACTTATAATTATATTTGTCTACTCTTCCTGTTGAAAGTAAAAACACTTCTTTACTAGGTCTCTAAAATCATTAAATAAGTTTTATTAAAATTTTATTTTCAGTACAAATCATTGTCGCCATCAACCTGCTTATGACAGTATTAATATCGGTTCTGCTTTTGGTCGGGATTTTTATGGTAAGCACTAGCTAATGCAAAAAAAAATCATTTGCAGAATGTTTTTTCATCGTAATGATTTTATTTTAGCGAAAGAAGATATTGATGCTTCCTTGGATAGTACTTACAATCATGTTATGTATTGGACTAGTCATATCTGTGATATACACTTCTATTGACTTCTTGATTCATAAATTCTATTTCACTAGCTTTGGGGTTTTAGTGGTTGGCTTGCTATGCGTGGGTAAGTATAATATAAATAAAGTTACACAATACTAAATGTAATATAGGTACATTACCATGCCACGGCTCATGATCATATTTTACAGGTATTTACGTGTACATGTGGTGGGTGACTTACAGTTATTACCAAAAAATCAAAGAAGAAGATAACCGGACTCCATACACTAGAACACCTTACTACGGCTGAACCATTTAATTAAATTATTTTCACGATGATTAATGTTTGTTATTAATGCAAATTAATTTGCAATGTTATAGCCAATAAGAGTTTTCTAGACATGATGAAATGATTAACCCTTGCCATTGTATATAACAACATTGAATGTGTGTGTGCAAGTTATAATATTAAGTAGTTTAACAAGGTTGTTTTCCATGTTAATATTTTAATTTTAATGCACTATTTATTTATATATATATTTTTTTAATTTATAATATTTATAATATGTATATAATAAACAATTAAATATATACCCACAAAGTTAAAATAATATAATATTAGTTTTAAATAAATGTTAAAAATGTGTATATTTGGAATGCGAAACATTAAATTAATTAATCAAAACTTATTAACTCTGCAACCTGGGGTTGCTCAACTTTGGGCTGTTCTACTTGGTTTGGAGCGGACGGCTGTGGATTTACTTGCTGACTAGGTATTTGGTGTGCACCGTACTGTCCCATGTGGACAGGTCCACCATAAGGCATAGACATCTGACCCATCATTGGCTGTTGATGTTGACTGGGTATCATTGGCTGTCCTACTGGAAGCGTGTGTTGTGGTGGACCCATATTTTGCATTTGAGGTTGTTGATGGCCGGGCATCATGGACTGTGTGTGAGAGCCAACACCAGGAAGTGACTGTTGGTGCATGGAATTCATTGATGGACTAACAGAAACCCCTGAATTAATTGTGCTTGTCATAGGAGCCATTCGTGGTTGATAAATAGGCTGAGGAATGTTTGAATTGACTTGTGAAATGTTATTGGGCTCATTGGAAGGTAAATTCACTGGTTGGTTGCTTGTGATAGAACTTGGATTTTGAGGTAGCATGTGTCTTGTAACAAAGCCTGCAAATTCATACATATTTTGTTCTATTATTATTATTTACTCTATCTAATATTTTATACCTTGAGGTTGAGAAATATGTTGAAAATGAGCCGATTCTGTTGACTGAGGATACCGTATACCATTATCTTGCATTTGAGAAGACATCAATGAATCTATAAGAAATTAAGGATTACAAACTATTTGTATTTGTACAAACAAAGAATAAGCAATACATTCTATACATGTCAAACATATTTGGTAAATTATAATCTGAACAGTTCTTATAGGCAGTGGTGTAGTGGAGGGTACACGCTAGTACATGGCGTGTACACACCTCTTAATTTTATTTTTATAAGTGTACCCTTAATGAAATCTGTGGTACGCAGGTGAGGCGTAGCCCACAAAGTTGTTTTTACAATGATTAAGGAGTGCACCCATAAACATTTTTAGGACTACATCACTGCTTATAGGTAATGTATTAAATGTCTAATACTTGAAAATATTATTATGACTGACAAAGCAACAAATATATTTCTAATTTTACCTTGTGTTAAGTGTAAATCAGTGGCACCGACTTGTTTTTCATTTAGTGGGGTAAAGCATAAAAATTAGTTACCAGAAACCACCCACATGATTATTGATTATATTGTAAATTCAACTATCACAAAGCAAACACTGGGGCGAACCACCCCATAAAAACACGCGTTTGGAGCCACTGGTGTTCAGTGTTGAATTGATGCAAAATGATCAAACGAAAGCAATTCACAATTATTAAAGAAAATGCAAATGTAATATTTTCTTTAAAAAAAGGAGGGAGGAAATTTTAACACAGCAAAAAGCTAATAAATTTACATAGGTCAAACTAAATTGTATACATATATATATATTTTTGGTTATAATGACTATCAGTTATTATGACCAATGTTTACTGGTTCCTTGAATGTTATTATAAACAGTTTCTACTATTATTTAAATTAATTTAATTCTTATTAAAAATAAGTAAAATATTCAATAACTATGATAGGTTAAATGTTCATATTATTAGTTATTATGATAAGCCCTGAGCAGGAAATGTGCTGAGAGCATAGATTATGATAGTTAACAAAGTCACAAGGTGGAAGCCAGATTGAACAAGTCAGAAGTGGAGAAACTGAGTCATAGAAGACTTGAAATTTCTATGAACCAGGAATGGAGAAAGGGTAAGGTTGGATAGATTCTATTCGATAGAGATACGTGGCAAGGCATCACAGGACTAAAATCTAAATGGCCTCAAATAAGCCAGAAAAAAAAAAAACTCTTTCTGTTACTTACTAGGACCAGGCGACATGTAAGGATTAGGTGCAGTGGGCATACTTGGCAAAGAATTAGGGCCGTACATATTACTATTAAGATAGTTTTGCCTCTGATGTTCCATTCTCATAGCCATTTCTTGTTCTTGTTGTTGCACTTGTTGAAGAGTCATTTGATGTTGATACTATAAGACAAGCAGTTAATAATAAATCATTTTAATTAAAATAAAAGCTAATAGGTAATTACTTGTTGGTACTGTTGTTTTCTCTGTCTTAATACATCCAATTTCATAGCTAACTGAATCTGCCTCTGTTGTTCAGCAAATGCAGCTTCTTGTTGAATTGCAGCTTTATGATCATCTCTCATCGCATCCAGTGCAGCTCGTGTGTCTTTAACTTGAACCAACTTGTCTTGCAACCTTTCAAAATATACTAAAAAGAGATATTTTTTTAAAATTATAAATTAAATATTTTTTTATGTATTTTATATTTTTTGTTTATACACCTCAAATTGTTATTTTATTCAAAATCAAATCTACTTAAATTGATGAAAACTGTTATACTGTCCATACACTAATGTTCAATCTACATGGCCATACTATCTTATTATTTTATCTTTTTATATTATGTATTTATATTATGTACTTATATTTTATAATACTATCAATTATGGTATGAAACCATTATGAATTATAAATAAAGATTTATAGAGCATTAATTATTAGTGGGTTATAATTATTTTAATTTGTTTAAAACATTGAACTTACAAATAAATAACTAGTGTTATTGTTCATTACAATTCTGCATTGACCAAATAATACTTTTATATTTTCCAGTAAGTAACAATTATCTATACTTACATCTTTTCTCATCTTGTTGTTGAATATATTGCAATAACTTTTGGTGCATAGGTGTTATCTTTGAGTAAAATGTCTCCAATGAGCCACCATTAATAACGGTTCTACCTCTGCTTAAATTTGATTTGATTCGATTAACAAAAATTTCTAACTGTGATTTAACAGAAGTAATAAACAATTCCATTTCCTCAGAGTCATCAGGCTGTTCATTATTCATGGCAGTACTAATTTCATTGTTAGGTGACTCAATGGTATTCACCTAAATTATTTAATTGATAACTTAAAATTAATATCATCTATAAATTATAATTATAATACATCATTGAAAACATACATTGGTTGAAGCAATTTTTGCTTGCAATGTTTTAGTTACATTTCCCATTTTCAGACTTTCCCAGTATGAACGATTTAAATAACGTGCCAATTCTGGATCATCTTCAGCCTCAATCTCAACCTTTTTTTCATTCTGTGGAAGGAACGTTAGATAATTAATATTTACCAAATTATAAAAATAATTGAGTGAAAAACTTGTTATCTTACTACTGGTGGTGAAGAATATAATCTTGTCGCAGGTATTGAAGTAGAATTCATAAAAGGTATCCCCTATTGGAAGGTATAATTTATTATACAATATACATAATATTATAAATTTTGATTTTTACTAAATAAAATAATAAATATTAAATAATTAAAGTAATATTACTTTTTGTTGTTCTGCTTCAGATTGGGATAAGGCCAAAGCCAATTGTAATTCTTCATCTTCTCTTAGTTCTTCTTCTGTTTTTCTATTGGCTGCTGGTATCTAAAATATTAATATTATGCTTTATTCAATACATTTCATATAAAAAATAAAATGTTTTATGAACAAATGTATTATTTTGAAAATTTAATATCAAACACAGTTATAATTTCCAAAGTAATTTTTACTAAAAATAAACTGATTAATATGTATGGCTATAATAGATCCCAGATTTATATTCAAAATTAGAATGCAAAGTTTTGTAGATTTCGATTCAAATTTAGAAGCTTTAAGGTGAAAAATAGAGCAAAATAAATGGTAACTTGTGGTTAGGTTAGAATAGTCGCTGGATAAAGATCATCAGATTTTTGTAATTCAACACAAAAATTAGGTATTGTTTTTAACTTAATAGATAGAAAATTACCTGTCATATAATTATTTATTTTTAGTTTTAGTTTAAAAACTAGCTGTGGAAAATACTGAAGAGAAATAAAATTAGAGATAACTCTGTCAACTTAATATTGCTTGCTATTTTTTTTTTCCATTTAGTTGTACAAGATAACATTTTACAGATTGCTTAAACTCTAGTTTTAAATTTGATTCAACTTAGGTAATAACAAAAATCTGAAGTTTATAGCGTTAAAGCATAATAAAAATAATATTTTAAATTGAATTGTCAGAAAATAATTTTCAGTTTTCTATGCAATATTATTATCTATTAAAAAAAACAACAACATTAATCATAGATTCAATGATGCCAAAAATCATTATATCCACGAAGCAGTGGCATATTTTAGTGGAAGCGAACTATAATACATATGGGTCATTGGATTATAGGGTGTTGGCAGATCGTAAAAATTTAAAGATATTTCTTTGGTACAATGCACAGTAGAATACAGTAATTTTTCAGATAATCATTGTCCACATTAACAATCACATTTTGTTTTCCATTCATTGACAAATGGCGTTGGACATTGGTTCTATTGATATGTCAGAAAAAATTATTGGTTACTAATGGTTAAGTTGAAATTAACTAAGATATATATCGCTTTTTTACGAGACTTTAATTATTAATTTTTCAAGTGAGTTATAAGCATTTTATAAATTACAGTATTACACATACTCATCTCATTTAAAAAATTTAAATATTGTGAAAATTCTGATAAATAAAATCTGAACACATAATATAATGCTTGTAGATCGTACGTTTAAGTTAGATAATACCTAGGTCAATTCACTATAATGTTAAAGCTAACAACACAAATGTTCTGCTTCACAAATTGTACGTGTTATATATTTTAAAAACAGAAATAAAACATGAGGGTCCTCTTAAAATGTAAAATCATATCACCGTATCGGTTTATGATATAATTGATAGATTTAATAGAACGAAAAAAAATAAATACTAATCTTATGTAATGTTTTGTTTTGTTTGATAATAGGCCTAAATTTGTTAGTCCACCGCCCCAAGGAGAACTCTCAAATAATAAATAGAGCTTACTTGATTTTGTTGAGCCAAAGAACTGGTAAGATATTCTATAGGTAAATCTTCTGATCCTTTGTTTACTTGTGGTCTAAAATAAAAATTTTAGGTAAAATAATGATTTAATTTAAATAATAATATAATCTATGAAATAAAATATAAAATCTTTGAATGCAATATTCATAGTTGGTTATATATAAAATAATTTAGAGATGTTCTAGGTAGATAATTTATAACAAACCAGATGTTAAATAGTATTAGCTCTAAGTTTGCTGTATCCGTTTACATTGTGGTTATGCCAACAGATACAACAAACCTAACGGTTGATGGCATATTTTTAGTCACTGAAAGTTAGGTAACTCCTATGATATGGCTTATCTGTGTATTTTTAATATCAATTTTATTAGCTATATAATGTATTTACAAAACAATTGAGTTTTGGCTGACTAACGTATCGCGCAAAGTAACAATTAATATTAGCCGAGTAATAATATAATTAAAAAAAATCGATACTGGTTTAGTTGACCTATCCAGAAAGTATTCTCCCGCCTTATATAACTATCATATTTTCGAAGTTCTAATCATCATACTGTATTTATACATTTAAAATAAAATATTACTAAATACAAAAAAATTAAAAATATACTATGAATCATAAAAAGTACATATACCAAATACATTAACAAATAAAAATAGATGAAATTACGCAAGTGGCCTTCATTAAACAGAACATGTTCGTTTAGTGTAATTTGCCACATAAACTGCCAAGGTATTCGGAAAAAAAATCCCCGGAAAAAAACCCCCGGATAAAAAATCCCCGGAAAAAAAATCCCCGGAAAAAAAATCCCCTAAGTTTGCTTCGTTGTGTTAGCTAAGTTTACTTATATTTAACTGTACATCTTAAATGGAGACAACAAAATATGTCGGTGTAACGTCCTCTTAATAAATGCGATTGCGATTACGATATAATAGGTACCGACTGACAAATTAGTTTCGGTCCAGGACGCATAACAGACGTAATCGCATTTTAGACAGATAAAAACATTATCGCGACGTATTGAAATCATTATAGTATGATTAACAAATAATTTGACGACATTTCTTGAACTTATAGTCTAGAAAAATATTATTGGTGGTCTATTTATTACCACTTCGCGGGCCGCCAATATTGCTAACGATATATTATTACGGTACAATACACCTTAGACGGTCAGTATACTTCTCTAGTTCCCACATAGTGTTGTAAAGAGTGTTGAAGAATTTTGAAATGAATAGTGTTATTGAAATAATTAAATCCACTCATGGAAATGATAAAGTTTGTTTCAAAGATTTTTGAACATTGTGGAATGGTTGACGCACTTGCATTCCTTCCTTTGCACCTTGTAGAAGAAGGAATGACGTATTTAAAAGACAATTTACCTGAAAACCTCACAGATCTGTTAGATTATTTTGATGCATACTACGTTAATGGCAAATATCGAAGAATAGGAAGTGATGAAAATAATATTAGGTTTCGAAAACTACCACCGATGTACCCTCCAGCTGTATGGAACGTAAATGAAAGTACCCTCAATAACTGCAACAGAACCAACAACATTGTTGAAGGATGGAACAATAGGTTCTCAAAACTAGTTGGTCAAAAACATCCCACAATATGGAAACTGATAAGAAAAATTAAAAATGAAATTAACGCCGATCGAGCAAAGTTAGCAATAGATGCTTTAGGTGAACCCGAAGAGAGTAGTACAAAAAGAGGCCACTATAAAACTATAAACATCCGTCTCAAAGAATTAGTCAAAAGACAAAATGAAGGTAACATAACCATTGGAGAATTTTTGACAGCTGTGAGTAATAATATACGCAAGAGATCAACTTTTTAAACTAATTTTATATATTTTTATTACTATCATAATTAATTTTTATTTTATACAGAACTAGATATTATTATAATGATTATCATTCAAATTTTATATATTTTTATTACTATCATAATTATTTTTATTTTATACAGAACTAGATATTATTATAATGATTATCATTCACATTTTATATTGTTTTAATTTTTTTTATTACCTAGGTATTCAATATTATTTTTTACACTTTTACAGCTGTATCCAACTATTAGTTATAGATATGGGGATTTTTTTTCCGGGGATTTTTTTTCCTGTGGATTTTTTATCCGAGGATTTTTTATCCGGGGATTTTTTAACCGGGGATTTTTTATCCGGGGATTTTTTTTCCTAGATTCAACTGCCAAATATGAATCCAGAAAGTTTTTGATAGTACATCTTTGTTTTATGTTACCCCCATTTAGCATTTGCCCACATCAACATTCTGTGTATGAGGTCCACAAAGTTAAATTTGTGGTTTACTGTAGTGATTATAAAAGCCGGTTTATTGAATATTATTATAGGCTTGCTGGGAATCAACTATAATGGTTGATCAAACTCTTATACTTTCACAAACTATTGGTGATAATGTATGTATGTACATGGATGTTACCAAATAATATTCTTAAAATATCCAATAAATGAATATCACACGTATACCTATCATATATTTGACACAAAATATATTTGTACTTATTTTATTTGTAGTTCAAATTGTATAACAATTGATTAGAACATATTGAAATATGAGAGGTATAAGTGGTGGGCACCTATCAAATCTGAGTGGTGGAAGAATACATTGGCGGGCATCAACTAAACCAGTACCATAAAATCAAGTACTGAGTATTGGATGAGAGAATATGTCTTGAAAAAATGGATACCAAGTGATACCAATAGGTTTTAGTTAGATATTAAAATCATAACTGGTGCATAGCAATGAAGTTATTGAAAGGTACCCAGAATATCTCTATAAAATATACTTTATAAATAAAATAAAATTGAATTTTGTACTTTTGTGATTTTTCAAAGCAAGCTTCACAAACACGCACCGGTTTCTCAATACCAAATTTTGGTAATGTACAAGAGCGTGAAGAACATTGAGCACAGAAAACTTGTCCACAAGCACGACAATGGTGCTAATAAAAAGAAAAATTATTTTAACAATATTAACTTATATACTATTTTCAATAATAGCTTGAAATAAAACAATTTACTTTGCGTTGAACCATTCCAAATTTAACACGGCATCTATGACAGCAATCAGAATCTTCCCAACCAGGAGCTACATCTGAACTGAACATAGCATCACTTTCTTTAAGTGCAGGAAATGTATAACCTTCAGCTTTCATTATGTTAACTGTATCCTGTCAAAGAAAAAAAAAGAAAACATTATAATTATTAATAGAGCATGAATTATTATTTTTTAATAGTCAAGAAAATATAGTTACTTGAACGGCACAATATTTGGGAATAGCTCGGAAAGCAAACGCCCAAGTCTGTAATAGTTCAAGTAATTTGTTTTTAACATTTTCATGTGGAGTAGTTTTTATAGTTTCTCTTATTTGTTCCATAAAAGGTTTAGTGCCAACTTCATCATGTACTAATTGACCACAATTTTTAACACAACATTCTAAAACCTAAAAGTAATATAATTTATAATATAATATTATTTGAAGATATATGATTATTTTATTTTAAAAAAATACTCACCAATAAGCTGTACATAGCTGTGTGAGGATTTGGACTAATAAGTTTTTTCTTAATGGCATTGAGTGCAAATTTTGGTCTGAAAGACATTTTAAATATGTTTAATACCTAACAATGGGTTTGTAATAACAATCTGATAAAAGTAAGTAATAAGTTGGATTAGATTTTAAGGCAATATAATTAACACGTTGAACGACGGTTTCAACCCGTAGTTGACACAAGTGAAAGAGCCTTGTGGCATACACATTTGAAATTTCTATCGGACATTCATAACCATATTGACAATTCCATAAAAATATAAAATCTACTATTTAACAATTGACGATCGTTCGCCCGGAGGTCAAATCATGTTGGCCACTGGCGTGGGCATGCCAAATCGCCATTCAATGTGTTAGTAAAAAGGAAAAAAAAGGCATTTAATTTATAAAAAAAAGCAATCACAAAATATACTAAAAATAAATTAAATTGCCGTAATAAATACTTTATTGATATTATTTATTTATTTTTATTTTTAATTATTCTTCGAGAAGATAATGGGCCCCATTGAACATGTTTGTGTGCTGATAATAAATCCTATTAAAACTAATTTTAAACATAACATTGACAATGCGTCTTCTACACAAGCTCTTATAGTTTGTTCTATCGGTTATATATATATAGAAAACTATCAGCTTAATTGATATTTAAACTCATACAAATTAAATAAGAGAAAAGAGCAAAACAAATTTCATTCATTACCTTAAAAATTAAATGAAACAATTTTACTATTTTTATCAAAAAAAAAAAGCATTTGCCTTCAAATCCAAACCCTAGTAATAAGTATGCTATTTATTAACAAAACTATCATAAAATAGGTATTAGGCACAGCTCATTAGTATCACACCATTATTTTAAATAGCTCTAAAATGTTTTCAAAGATAGGTACAATGTTTGAATTTAATCTATATCTAGCATACTTCTCAATATATTTGTGGTTATGTGGTATCATTACTACGAAATATCTATTGGCTTTTATATGTAATTATCTATGTTACAGAATACAATTTGAAATGTATTTTAAAAACAAATGTTTGTATTACATTTATGCAATATATAAGATCTAATACAAACTAAGGGTCAGTTGTAAAGTCTACGGTTACACTTTGATTACGCTTAATCAGCTGATAACAGATTTTATAACAGGCCAAATTCGGCCGATTGATTTTCGGTTAACTTTAATCGGAGATGGTGTACAACTGGCCCTTAGAAGAGTACTTTAACACCGTAGCTTACACTATTAGTCTCAGTGGCGTGTATCATAACAAAAATTGGTGTTGCTCAAATAGTTTTAAGTGACCTACCCCTCATAATAATGTTAAACCGACCCATAAAATATCCTATTTTTTCATCTATCAATACCCATCCACCCATATTTAAGGTGTTGCCCGAGCAACACTTGGACTTTATGTTCACGCCACTGATTGGCCTTTATTTAAGAGCCTACTAAATTCTCAATCACCAATGTAATTTCTTCACTACTCATTAGTATGTCCAAGATATGTATTGAAAACAAAATGAAAATTTCTATACATTTTATAATTTAAAGATTCTAATGCTAAAATGTATGATTGCATACTCTTGAACATGACACAACAGACTTCGTAGTTTATTAACCGGCTTATGTTTTCAAATACATTATCATTGGATCATGGAAAATTTCCATTTATAAAATAATAAATGAAGAAATAAATTAATGGGATACAATAGATAAACTTTTCAAATATTAGTCGAAGATTTATGAGTTATAACTAATGTACTCTCCCCCTCCGAGTATGTGACATCATCAAAATTGTTTTGATGTACAAAAATATGCTACAATTAAGTTTTAAATTTGAAAATCTTAAATCGTTTTTGTACTTCATGCTGGTAACATATGTATATTTCAAAATAATATTATTACATAATACCTACGAACGTTATTTTTTTATTTTATTCCAAATTGCCTTCTATTAAATTCAATATAAATATGAAGGATAAAAACTATTATATTTTATATATTATAATAATATATAGCCATATAGGGAGTATGACTATAATATTACATTATATAAAGGAAATCACTTATACCTACACATTGTATAAAAAAAATGTTGGTTGTTATCACTTTATACCAAATTTCTATTGTTTTAGTATTGATACTACTTAATAATATATTGAAACTAATGTTAAATATCTTACTGGACATCTTTCTGTCGTATTGTGTCACATATTTCTAATGTAGTAGGCCAATCCGCTTCTAATAACAAATTGCTGGTAACTTTATCTGTAAATTTAGATCGAATGTAAGCACCGTACTACATACATACAATAATATTAATATGCTAATGACTCCAATAGTTCAAATTACCGAGTAGTTTTTCAAAATTCGATTTAAACATTTTGTTGACCGTGATTTTCAGTATATGTAAAACAAAAAAAAAATTAGTTATTGTTGTGGAATTGTTGTAAGTGTTCGCGGTGTCTGTGTACTGAATCGATATTATGATAATTATTTTTTTTTGTATATAAACTATTAAGTATCAAAAAACTAAAGAATAAAAACTTGTAATAATATAAAATACTTTAACAATAAACATAGAGAAGAGTAGATATTAAAAGACAATAAGTGAGAAGCCTACGACGAAATTATAGTGACAACAGCGGAGCCAGGAATCGTTTTTTAATTCGCTGAACCTTGTCATTTATCAATTCGTTATCAAGAACAGTGAGCCAGTTGTCACTTGTCACCGCCCAGACGGGCCTTTTTGTAGACTAATAAATTTGGTATAATAATTTGTAAATCGTGCATACCATTGTCGATTGTTACAACAATGACAATGTACATTTACCGGAAATTCGCTTGCTGACCAATCGTAATTAAATGGTTTTTGTTTATAGACATTATATTATTATTAAAAACCTAAAATCATTATTGTTCGCACGGAACACGGTAGCTATATTTTTGTCTAAAAAACGGCAACACTGCACACAATTTCCGAAGGTTTCGTTACCACGATTAAAGATATGCATATTGCATTTATATAACAGTTGTAGTAGTAGTCCATGGTATTAATAGACTTGATAAAATTGAATTAAGTAATTACTAATTTACCAAAGGATTCATCTTCTTTGCCATTACGCCCCTATGGCATGCAGCCTGACTGAATAGAGTCAAACTCTAAAGTAAGACAATGGTTGCATCATGTAAATAAACATAAGTTAGTATACCATCCAGACACACTTTCTTGTTCACAAAGGTGCAGTGGCGGCGCCAGGAATTTTTCCCAGGGCGGGCCAAAGGGAGGCCAACATATATTTGGGCAGGCACAGTTGTTTGGACGTATGGTAGTTTAATCAACGGGGGGGGGGGGGGGGGACAGGGGCCGGAGTGTCCTTTTTTGGAATACCCACCTTTGAATCTACATAAGTACCTATAAGTACTTTTGTAATAAAAATTGTTTATTTAATTTCTTAAGGTCTTTGACCTCCCCCCTTGAAAAATGGTAGTTGAGTTACAGTCTCAGTGACCAGGAGTTTTGGTGAGTTGGGTTATTTATTTATCAGATACTTATTTAAAAAGAAAAGTAAAATGAAATACATAAAACTGCAATCCTTTATATTTTCTTTATTAAATAAACAACATAATATTACCTATACATCTAAAAAATTTTGATTTCAAAGTTTATAATTGAATACATATTAATACATTAGCAAACCATAACTAGGTACATAATGAAATATAAAACAACTATTAAATACATATATTAAATAATATATTTTATGAATAGCAAGAATGAAAGATTAAGATAATAATAATTAATAGGAGAGTACTCGACTAAATAACCAAAAATTGTGCAACGACGACAATAAAGGTTATTATAATAATTACTGTTCATTAATCATTAGTCTCTAGCTGTTACATGCCCATTGCCCACATTACAGACTGATTGGACTTCGCCACTTCGGAGTGTGGGTAACGACAAGTCGACAACGACTAACGATGATTGTAATCTATTCCTTATGAGTTATGAGTTTATGACTAACAGTCATATTTCAGAATTATCTAAAATTAGATTTATACAATAATATTGTCGTAATCCCGTCCAAGCCGTTTCCGCGAACAACCGCACCAAATATAAAACGTAAACAATCTATATTATATCCATGTATTATAGCTGTGTGTGATTCATGAAAACCAGACCACGAAATTACAGGGATATGTTCTATTTACGTACTTAAAAATAATAATTTCAACTATTAAATTTAATCAAAATTTTTAGGCGGGCCAACGGGTGGGCCAGGGGTTTCTAAGGCGGGCCATGGCCCGCCCGGGCCCGCCTTTGGCGCCGCCACTGCAAAGGTGGGTACCATAAGCTATATTTCATAATATGTTTATAATTGTTTACTTATTATAGTATTTTATTAATATAATTTTATTTTTTTTAGTTTTTTTGAGGTACAACATGATGAAGACCAAAAGAACGAGATTTCTAGCAGTGATGAATAAGTGAACACATATAAACACAAATAAGTGATTATAAGTGATGAAAATGTTATACTAAATAAAGGTGTTCAGAATTATATATGTACGACAGATTTTATGAAGTAAGTAAACAGTTTTTTTATCATATTATCTTATATAGGTAGTACAATGTTGTCATATATTCACTTGGGTGAAGGATGCAGATATATCTGCACCCATTGTATCTTTGTTTTTTCAAGTATTGGGACCATTTCTTGTGATGGTTATACAATTTGTCTGTATTATAGAATTATTGCTTTGATTGTAGGTAAATAAATTATAAAATTGATTTAAGGTTAAACATCAAATTTCAATCAATACTGTTCTAGTTAATTATACTTCAAAAGATTGGCTCACGTCAAGGTAATAAAATGTCATATACCACTGCTTTACAGTACTCTGTCTAGCTTTGTATTTCTTCCCCTCCCTTTAATCAAAAAATAACTTGAACTAATTTAAGTTAATTTTTAATTTTGTATTGAATAATTTTAATGTAACATAACTGTATACGCCTTTATATTAGTAATTGATTAATTACCATGTTTTATTAATAAACTAATTATTATTTTTAGATTCTGAGCGGAGCGATGAATGTATTGGTTTTACAATGATGTATGTTTTTTTTTATATTTTAGATTCTGAGCGGAGCGATGAATGTATTGGTTTTACAATGATGTATGTTTTTATATTTTTATTTATATTTTTATATTTTTGTGTCTGTCATCACGTTTTAGGACAGTAAAAGTGCTTAGATTTTCTTCAATAGTACCTTTTCTGATAGGAAAGTGAATCTAGTTGGTACTTTGGGGGGTCAAAAGTAAACATTTCCCAGTAGTTTTCACAAGCGCCGGGAAAAACAACATAAAAATTAAGGAAAAACGGGAATTTTTACGCAAAATTGGTTTTCCAAAAAATCGATTTTAGTTATTGGTGTAACTCTAAAACAAATGAACGTATATACATGAAATTTTCACTGGTTGTTAATATTTGCATTTTATATACACGATAACATTTTCAAAATATTTTGATTTATTTTGAACTGTTTAGGGACATTTCCATTTTCCATTTTTTTTTAGTTTTTTTTCTAAAAATATCAATACAATTTTATTTGTTGGTTGCGAAAGCTTGAAAATTTAATAGAAGGCTCCTAATATGTTGTTTCAAAGGCAGATGAAAAATATTAAAAATCCTTAGTCACAATTTTTTTTTATAAGCATTTAAAGTTCAAAAATAGACAAAATATGGAAAAATCACGAAAATGAGCAAATTATTTTGAGTTAAGAATTCGTAAAAATTTTTCTTTTTAAATCTAAGATTTGAAAATGAAACACAAGATTCCTTATAAGATTACCTACCTTTATCAATAAAAAAATCTCTACCGGACAGTCAAATTGAATTTCTATGAGCGTTTGAAATTCAAATTTTTACAACATTGGATTTTCACTCGATTTCTCATGTAGCGATCTCCTTATTTTGTTGTAATTCAAAAACGAATAACTGTAGATACATGAAAATTTCACTGAATGTTTATATTAGCATTTCCTATACACCATACAATTTTGAAAATATTTTGACTCTTTTTGAGCTATTTACGGACATTTATCGCTTTCAATTTTTTTTAGTTTTTTTTTCTATAAATATCAATAAAGTTTTATCTGTTGGGCCAAAAAGTGTAAAAATTTAATACAAGGCTCCTGATATATTGTTACAATATCAGTTGAAAAATATTAAAAATACATAGGCACGATTTTTTTTTATAAGCATTTAAAGTTGGAATTTTGACAAAATTTATCAAAATCTCGAAAATTATCAATCGTTGGAATTAAAAAATTATAAAATGTTCAGTTTTTATAACTAAGAGTTGAAAATTTAAAACAAAGATTCTCTTAAATAATTCATACTGTAACCAAAAAATCTAAAAAATATATAAACACACTTATTTTTTACAGACATTTTAATTTCAAATTTAGACAAAATTTCATATTTAAACCATGAATTACGATTTTAGTAGACTGACATACCGTCTCCGCTCAGAATCGTTTTTCTTATACAATGATATTATATCATTGAATTCAAGTTTAATACCATCCATTATACAGTGACCCACTTGTAACCTACAGTACAGCATAGCGACATCCACTTCCCCACCTTTTTATTTATATTTTTGTGTCTGTCATCACGTTTTAGGACAGTAAAAATGCTTGGATTTTCTTCATCAGTAGCTTTTCTGGTAGGAAAGTGAATCTAGTTGGTACTTTGGGGGGTCAAAAGTAAACATTTCCCAGTAGTTTTCACAAGCGCCGGGAAAAACAACATAAAAATTAAGGAAAAACGGGAATTTTTACGCAAAATTGGTTTTCCAAAAAATCGATTTTAGTTATTGGTGTAACTCTAAAACAAATGAACGTATATACATGAAATTTTCACTGGTTGTTAATATTTGCATTTTATATACACGATAACATTTTCAAAATATTTTGATTTATTTTGAACTGTTTAGGGACATTTCCATTTTCCATTTTTTTTTAGTTTTTTTTCTAAAAATATCAATACAATTTTATTTGTTGGTTGCGAAAGCTTGAAAATTTAATAGAAGGCTCCTAATATGTTGTTTCAAAGGCAGATGAAAAATATTAAAAATCCTTAGTCACAATTTTTTTTTATAAGCATTTAAAGTTCAAAAATAGACAAAATATGGAAAAATCACGAAAATGAGCAAATTATTTTGAGTTAAGAATTCGTAAAAATTTTTCTTTTTAAATCTAAGATTTGAAAATGAAACACAAGATTCCTTATAAGATTACCTACCTTTATCAATAAAAAAATCTCTACCGGACAGTCAAATTGAATTTCTATGAGCGTTTGAAATTCAAATTT